AATCTGAAGTGCCATCATCCTTGCTGAGGACATCTGGAATTCACAGATTTGCATTGAGATGGCACACAACTAATGGGGGAGGGATAGCTCAGTGGTTTGAGCATTGGCCTGCTAAACCCAGGGTTGTGAGTTCAATCCTTGAGGGGGCCACTTAGGGATCTGGGGCAAAATCAGTACTTGGTCCTGCTAGTGAAGGCAGGGGGCTGGACTTGATAACCTTTCAAGGTCCCTTCCAGTTCTAGGAGACAGGATATCTCCATTAATTTATTTATTTTATTATTTTACCTATATACCACTTCAAGTTTCAGACAATTCCTCAGTTCAAGCAGAGGTGATTTTTTGGGCATCTTGTTACACTAAAATCGTATTACTAGACACTGATTTAAGGTAGTACTCATTTCCTAAAACATTTTCATTAATAGAGTATTATTTAATAGTTTTCTATTTTACTGCATCAGTTTTCTTTTACACTTTACCTTTTAGTATATTGAAAGTTTCTTTAAACCCTTGCACACAGAGTCCACTGAATCCCAATCACACTCTTGAGGATACAATCATTTTCTAAACACACACCTTTTCCCCCCTCCATACTGCAGCCCTTATTATTGCAGAAAAACAGCTCTGCTATAGTTAAGGCTGAAAACTCATTTTTGCTGACTTCAAATGCTCTAAAATCCACATGCTTACTCATATTGTTTTGAAATTTAGTATGCCTCAAGGGGATGCAGGGTAGTGTTAGTGATCCAAATTTGGGGTCATCCAAGCAAGAAGTTCTCAAGATATAGGACCCTGGGGGTGGAGAGGAAGAAGCATTTCTTAAGGTTGACAGATTCTACCAACTTTTTTTTAGCAGACCTAGGGAATCAAACCGTGGCTCTGATTGTGGCCCAAATGGTCTCCATCACTCAATATTGGTGATATTCAGGTGCGTGGGTAGTAAGCCTGTCAGCTCCACATTCTCTCCTGGTATTTGTATGCCAGAATCTGGGGGCATCTGCCCCTCTAGGGGGACCTGGGCTCCTCTCCCTGCCCCTCATACAAGCCAGCATCTGGGGAGGCCTCTTCACTCTGAAAGACTCAGATTCTCTCTGTCCCCCTGGGCCCCTCCTCCATGTGAGCAGGCATCTGGGGAAACCCTGCCCTCTGGGTGGGGAGCTGAGGACATGCAAGCTGGGGGCATGAACCCAGAACACACTGCAAGTCTGGGGTGAGGAGCTGAGGGGCATACTTGATGCATATCACTGGCTCAAACAGTTGGCACAGAGAAGAAGAGTCCCCAAATCAAACCTGGGCCTGGGCCGCAGGCACAGCAGTACAGACCACCACCACAAGGCCACCTTAGGGCTTGTCTACACTACCGCTGTAGTTCGACGGCTGGCAATCGAACTTCCGGGTTCGATTTATCGCGTCTGGTGTGGACGCGATAATTCGAACCAGGAAGTGCTCGCCGTCGACTGCGGTACTCCACGTCAGCGAGAGGAGTACCGCGGAGTCGACGGGGGAGCCTGCCTGCCCTGTGTGGACCGCGTCTGAACCGCGGTAAATTCGAACTAAGGTATGTCGACTTCAGCTACGTTATTCACGTAGCTGAAGTTGCGTACCTTAGATCGAATTGGGGTGTTAGTGTAGACCAGGCCTTAGACAGCTATTCTTTAATTAGATATTAATTCAAAGGTGCTTCACTGTACAAAGTGTTCTTTTAAATACGTTTGTTCACTTATAGCAGACACTAAACAAGCCATAGCTGAAAATTGTATTTAAATACAGGTAAGCCTATATTTATATTAAATAATTTTTGACCCCTTCCGGTTGGTACTGTGCCTAACACAGCTCTATGAAATAAATCCCACTCATCTAATATACTTAGACTAAACTCTTGTTCTGGATTGCAGTTTTTCAGAAAAAGCTGGTAATCAAAAAGCTCACACATTCCTCATGACACTTTTGGTCACTCAAGCAGCTTCAATTTAAACAAATATTTGTCAGTTTTACACACAGTTTCAGTGGTCCAAATAAAATATATCTTGCTTTGATACAGCAGACGTATCTTAAGCAGATACCAGTTTATATTGGTGCATGTACTGATGTCACATCTATATAGGCAATACTATTAAAAAAACACTCTGTAGTCTGTGTTTCATTGGCCCAGATTCAAGGAAGGAATCTGGCATTTGACAAGACAAATACAAAATATATTAATGCTTCTACAGTTTATGAGAATACCATTCCCAGTTACCTACAACCCCAGGTAAAACCCTAATGCAGTTTCTATTGATGTAAGTAAGCAAAGGGGTAAAAAACCAAAGATATTGAAACTAAAACACTCAGTGAAGGCCACTGATAAGTTTAAAGACTGAAGAGTGTACATGTAGAGAAGGATGCCAGTTCTTGATTAAAATATTGAAAAAATTAATGCTAGTAGCAGAATACTATAAGAGTAATTCTCAGACTCCTACATGCCTCTGTTATTCTGCACAGGATTCTTATGCGTAGCTTTGCAGTATTTCTATCTAGAAACTGCAACAGTCATTCGATAGGAGTTCTTTCAAAAGCAATCTGGAAATTCTAATAAATCTACGTGTCCCTTCAGACTGGGTATAAAGAGTGAAAGCAGAATAGGCCAGTTACTCATAAGTGATGCTGTGTACAAAACCAAAAAGGAGCAGCAGAATAAGACACAGAGGCACCTAATCAGGTATATTTATTGTTAGGAACTGTGGCAATGTAAAATATTGTTTTTAAATTTTAAAATAATACTTTCTACAGGAAATACTCGAAACAGTTACTGTACACTAGGGGTAATCAATAGGTGGACTGCTGGACAAATCCAGACCACCAGGTACTTTTGAACAGATCCCAAAATCTTTTTATTTACTTTTTTTTATTATTATTTTCTTCTCTGGAGTCTGGACCTTGACTATACCTTGGCAAAAAAATAATTGACTACCCCTACTTTATACTATTAATATGGTGATGAACAAGGTGGGCTGAAGGAAGAAATCTGAAGATTTTAGTTATGTTCTATGAAAAAATCTGCAGAAACTCCATTGATGTCATCATTTTCAGCTGCTCATCCACACTAACACAACTCAGTTCAGTTTATTTCCACACCTCAAACATGTTTTGTTTAGCTCCCTGTTCCTTAGCATTTGTAAACAATATGCAGTGTACAATGAGGAATCAAGTGAGAGTAAAGTACTAAAAAGGCAGCCTGTATTTTTTTTAATCTGTAAAAACCTGAGGTTTCTGATTACCATAGAAATGTACATCATTAACAAGAGATTTAAATTCTCCAAACTGAAGTATTACACACTGGATATTTTACAACAACCCAGGAATATTTTGTAGTAACTATGCCCATCTTCTGCAGTTCAGCATGCTCACTCTGCCTGATTATCTCCTAGCTGGCTCTGCACATGCATGGAGCATTTGAGGACAGACTACACAGGCACAAGAGGCTGATGATTAATGCAGAAGCTCCAGCCATACTATACTATGCGAGGTGACTGGTTGCCCCTCCCCCGTGATCGGGTATTTTGCAGTATAAAGGACCACTGGACAGTCTTTCGCCTCTCTCTCAAAAATGCAAAACAACCCGCTACACACCCCTGCCCCGACTTCACCCCGATGCCCTTAAATAACCCGAGTGAGCCTGCAGGAGCCCCAGTGGACAACACAGCTCTAACTCGGCTGGAGGTATGGATGTGCTTTGGGCACCCTCCAGACACACATCACGGGCACGTGAAAGACAGGCTGTCCCAAGTCACCGGCCTTTGCTGACCGAGCTTACTTCCGTCAGCCAGTTACCTAGTGCTTAGCGTCCAGTTACCCATCCTGCTAAGAGTTAAGGAAGGAGACCTACGAACACCGCTGCCTCGCTGCAGGAATCAAATCCAGTCGGCTACCCCGAAGTGTTTGGGATACAACCGAGGCGAACCGCTAGACGAGCGCAACCGCTGCATGGGTCAATACTGCTCCGTGCAACTAGTTGAGACTGACTGACCATAAGGAGTGGGTCCCCAATAAGGGTGCTGTATGTAATGGACCCGCTGACCCCGAGTCTCCGGTAAGGGATCGGAGCGGGGTAGGAGCCGAAATGCAACGCCCCCATAAGCGAAGAGTACAGGGGAGGAGGCTGTGTACAATCCACCCAGGACCGGCACGAACGGAGAAGGGGAGTGGGAGGAGCTAACTGTGTGCAGACTACGGGGAAGGCGGCGTCCCAGAGGCGGAGCCTGTGTGCAATGCCAGCATTGACGGACGGGCGCGGGGGAGGAGGCTGGGTGCCACCCTCCCAGCACCGGGGTGAGAGCAGAAGGGGAGAGGGAGGAGCCTGCGTGGAACACATCCAGTACCGAAATGAAAGGGGTGTCCCGGGGGCGGGGCCCGTGTGCAATGCACTCGGTACTGGGGGATGGACTCCGGTAAGGGAACGACGGGGGTGGGCTGAGTGCGATGCAGCCCGCGGGCTCTCGAAGTACGGCATATACTCCACGCACTCAGTTCTTAGGGGAAGGGAGTTTGACGCGGAAAGGGAGGCGGGCCCATATCCGCTGCACCGACTCCCTGGGCAAGGGGGCGGCTACATGTGCAATGCGAGCGATCAGAAGCGAAGGAAACGGCTCGGGAAGCTCATCTCCGCTAATCCAGAGCTCGTGAAGACAACCCGACCGGCACGGAGGGTGGAGGCGGCTACTTCTGCGCTACGCTCGCCGGGGGAGGGGGCTCCCTGTACGTTCAGCACCTGGGGAGGGGGGGCTGCCTGTGTCCAGCGCACGCGAGGGCCCGCTGTAGGGAACCGCCCGCTCGCCGGGGCAGGGAACCCCCGGGGAGACGCAACATGGGAGGCTGCTCTCGCTCCCCTCCCCCGGTGGCGCCCGAAGCGCGCGGGCCACCGGCGCGAGTCCCCGCCCCATACGGAGAGCGAGAAGGGAATGGAGCGACCCGCCCCCCGCGGCGCCCGGCGGGACTGTCACACCGCCCGACCCCTCGGCGCTCACCTCAAAGCCGCCCCTGTGCCCAGGGGGATCGCGCCCCGCCGGTGGCTGTCCGGGCCCCTTCTCCTCACGCGGGGGTGGCCCTCGGGCCCCTCCTCTCGCCACTGGCGGGGTCGGCGGCGGCTGCTCCCGCCCCAGCTCTGGCAGCTACTCGAGAGGGACGGTCCCTGGCGGTGACGGGCTGTGGGAGGGCGCCCCGGCGGCTGCTCCGGGCGGGGTGGGGGGGTCCCCGGGCCCCTCCTCCTCCTCCCGGCGGGGGCGGCGGCTGCTCAGCTCGGGCAGTGGAGGGGGTGAGGGGCGGCTGGGCCTGGGCGGATACGAGGGATGGTCGGCTCCGGTGAGGGGGGCGTAAAATGGAGTAACCGTCTCTCGGCGGCGGCCGAGCGCTGCCCGCTTCTCTGTTCCCCGGGAAATCCCGCCCCTCCCCGGCCCGGGGGGAGACCCCCGCGCTTCCATTGGGTACATTGCTTGCCACTCACCGCCTCTCCCAATCACAGCGCAGTGCCCACCCCCATCTCCCGCCCCTATTGGACACAACCCCCAGGAAGGGGATGTGAAGGGGGGGACCGAGGAAAAATGTCCGTATAGGAAACAAGCCCCGCCCAATCCCTCCTCCACTCCCCTCTCATTGAATGCCGCCTACAGGAACCGGTCAACGATTGGATTAGGTGGACGTCGGTCAAACCTAGACTCCCCCTATCTCAGGCTCCGCCCCCGGCCACTAGGAAGCTCCGCCCCCTCTCTAGGGAGCCCTTTTGTGGAATGTTTACATCTGCAAGTGGATCCAGATTCGTGCCCCTGCAAATCCGCCCACAATCCCGGGGGCAGCAGCTACTCCCTGGGGTTCACTGCATGCCCTGTACCTGCACCCATGTTGCTTTAGAAGGTGGCCCCAGCACGTGTACTAACACTGTACAATGCACGGGTGCAACAAGCTGCTGCAGCACGGGCGCCAGTTCTGTCCAACTCTACACGCTGCAGCGGCGCTACGCCCAGTATCGTTAACGCACGATGCATGGGTACAACAAGATTCAGCCGCGCGGCCAGTAGCCCAGTTTAATACACGCAGGCACCAAACTTCAGCAGCTATGCGCTCGCTCTAGTAATGCATTAATGCAACAAGTTGCATGAGGTCAATCATACTACCCAGCTTCAAGATTATCTGTGAGGTATTATTCCGCTTGCATACAATCTAAACTGGGATGAAACCTCTTGGATACTGCCCTCGAGGAAACAAGGTAATTAGTTTCCTTCTACTCCTATCAACCCTGTTTGAAACTTGCAGCAACTTTACAGGAAGTAACAAGTGAAACCATACGCCAAAACAGGCACTATTTAAGAACACCTTTTTTAAACAACACCAAAGCTGTACGTGGTGGTCGCATTGCATTAACCCACGAACCCTGGATTTGGAATCCAGCCTCAAAGAACTACGGGTCACCTATTGAGCAATTTGAGCACATTTTGGATCAGAGCTACTCCAAACGGAAGCAGATGGGGAAGGTAGATTTCTATTCCAATATAAAATTCAGGTATGTTTTTACACTCCCATGGAAGAAAAAGGTGCCATAGGATTAAACAGTTGTCATTTTCCCCTCTAGTCTGAAAGCTTTTTCCTCAAAGTTTCTGCGAGGAAGCATTAAGTTTGTCTCAAAGGACAAACAGGCCCATAAGGCAAACAAACAACAACAAAAAATAAAGCGTGCATTTATTTATAAAATAGCACTCTGAAGTTGCATGATCCCATCGCTAAATAACTGCGATGGAAATCCAAGTCTTAGATCACTTTTAGCCACCACACTGACTTTGCTTTATTAATTCCACACAGGAATTAATGTATTTCCATCACCGCTGACTTCTGGAGCACTGACCAACTGCCCTAGAGGCTTCTCCACGCCAGGAACATGTACAGTTCTCATCCTCAATACTTCCTTCCTACAGAAGTCAGTGACACAGTGTATCCATTCAATACAAGCCCAATGTATCCAAAGGAGAGGAGGATAGTCAAAATAAATCCCTAGCAGTGTAAATCACAATGAATTCTTGGCATTTAATAACTGTCACCATGCAGACAACAAATGAAAGATACCTTCTGGTGGTACCCTAATGAAACTGTATTCTTATTGCCTCCCACCTCCCAAAGGCCAATACCATTACACACACTTTCTATTCCAAGCCTTAAAACTGTCCAGAAACCTTATTTGGAAGTATATTTTGTACCTCAGATACAGTCAAGAGTACACAGAGAAAAGACACCTCCCTGACTAGAAGAGCCTACTGTAATAGGCATGGGACAGTCAAGGCAAAGAAGCATACAGGTCTTAAACATATGGATGATGCTATTTTAAAGATTTGGTTCTATACCTCTGCTGTGTTGCCCACACAACTCCTTTCTCTCCCCTGGTGTAAAAAGGGACGATATCTGGATCACTTGGAGATTGTCCCTCACCTTCCACTTATAACCCTGCTAATTATAGTACTGGGTGGCAGGATGCTGCCTGTTGCTGCAGTTTCAAACAAGCGACTTTCTGATTCATATGTGGAGGCATGATAGTAATTAAAATAAAAAGGTGAGCAGGTTATGCATCGCCCAGCCAGCTCAGAAATCCTCAAGTGCCAGCACCCCTCGCTCACACGTTCTCTTTAGTGCATGTACACACACTCACAAACAGTGAGAGCTACTATTAAACCCTCTTTAGCTTCCTCCAGCAGACACGCCTCCAGCTAGCTCGCAGCAGCTTTGGAGCAGACGTGCAGGCTTTAGTTTTAAAATATCTTCCAACATGACTGAACTTGTAGTTCTGAATTAAGAGAGAGACTTCAATGAGGCTTCACATCTTTTTAGGAGTCTGAGCCTAGTAAAAGCAGCGAGGGAAGGAATCGATTTCTCTGCATTGGACTGTCTCACCATTCCGAGCGAGTCACTCGTACCAAAAAACTAGGGTGATTTACTCCTTTGCCTTGCCCCCTTAGTGCCTGGAATAACCTGATACCCCTTTTTCTACGTGTTAACTCTGTCCCTGAAAGCATACGAGCGGTTAAGGCTCCACCCCTACTGTAAAGCAAAGCACGACATCACTAGGGTAAAACAGGGTTTAAGGGAAAATCCACGTACTGTACTGCAGATTACACACAATTTCCACGTTTCAGGACATAGAAGTACATGGTAGTAAAGACAAACAACACGCACGCAGAGCTCCCTCTCTCTGTGCTCCTCGCTGACTACACAGTACAGGATTTGTAGCTAACCGGAGGGCAGATACATTGTACGATCCACAGCCAAAGAGCTTTACAGCCCCCTAAACTGAAATCAGCCCAGCAGTCTGCTTGTGACAGAAGCTCATTTATCCAGGGACTGGGGGGAATCACAGCAAGGGAGGAGCTGGTACGCGGTCAAGACACGAAGGGGGGGGGGGAGGACACATTGACAAAATATTTGGAGAAAGCCATCCTCTTTCTCATACGCTGGCCTGAGGAAGACTGGGGCCGGTGTGCCAAACTTTGGGCCACACTCTTTACCTTCAGGATAGATCTCAGAGAAGGGGAAAAGTAAAAATATGCCTCCACGGGGCAGTCCAAACGTTCTGGCGCCAGGCTGGACTTGGAAGGAGCGAAAAGAAATTGGGAAAAGGTGGGGGAGTTTCTCTCATTACCAACCCCCCCCCCGTCAAAAAAACCCAAAACCAAGCTCGATGTATGTTGCTCCTCGCTCTTAATCTCATTTTTTCACCTCATGGACGTACTATGCGGCGGGGGGGGGGGGAGGGGGAGAGACCCACAAGCGGGTGAGCTGTAGTATTGCAGGTACCCAGCCAGGTAGATTCCGTGCAGTCTCCGAGTTAAATCTCCGGAGTGAACCAAGGCTGGATTTCTGCTGTCTCCCGCTCAAAAAAACAAAACACAACAACAACAAAACAAACAAAAAACGTGCGACACGGGGGAGGAAACAGGGCCGCTAAGTGCTTTTGCTGCCAAGCAATATAAGACCAGAGAGCAAAGCTAGGATGACTCTCCCGCCTCCTCTCCCTCCCCGGAAGCTGGAAGAGAAGGGGGCTGGCCTGTGACTCTAACGCGGTGCGGGAGAGAGCTCCCTCCGAAAATGTCCTAAGCAGTCACCCCTGCCTTTGCCCGGTGGGGGGGAGGGATTGTATTACGAAAGAGGCACCCTGGCAGGTGGTCCCCTGCCCCAGCGGGAGGGCTTGTCGGGGGTGGGGGGGATTGCCTCTCTCTATCCCTTTGCCGGAAAGATCTGACTGATCTCTAGGCGAATCCTTTTGTCCCTAAGTCCCACCCAGCATTGACCGCGCAGCTTCACTTCCGGGATTGCTGCGCCCCACGTGGGGCGGATCTATTACACGTGGGGGGGGGACGATGGGGGAAGACACCGGACCTGCCTTCTCCCGCTCCCCCATTCTCCCTCCCTTGGAGGCAGAAGGGGGCGGATCAATGCTTTCATTTCTACCAATCAGCTCCAAGGAGAGGAAAACTTCTCTCCTCCTTCTTCCCGACCGAATTAGGGAGTCCTTTACCATTTGGGGCGGGAGACCAACCTGAAATACAGTCAGGTCTTCTGATAGGCGGGGCGATTTGGAAACCCTAGCCAATAAAGCACAAGGGGTGGGGCTAATTCTTCTACCCAAGAAGAAGGCCTAATCCCGCCCTATGACTACATAGCGAGGAAGGGGGCGGGGGAGGACTGTGAGTGTGTGTACTGCGTATTCACTCAGTCAGCCTCATGCAGTAGGCACTACGGGCAGGTTACGCTGCTTCCATAGCTGAGGTTGCAAACAGCAGTATCCCTCCAGCACGAAAGGGGGAAAACGACTTAGGCTGGCAAGATTCTGGAGTGGATTCCCCCGGTGGGGTCTCCTCTAGGCTGGAGAGAGAGGAGAGGCAGAATCCCTTCCGCCCTCCCCCAATCCACGCCTTGTAAATTGTAACGTGAACCCTCCTTCGCTTTCCAGCCCGCTGCTCCCGCCCCCTCCCAGAACCCAGCCTTGCTGGCGGCGCGCGGCCTCACTTTGCTAGCGCTCTAATGAGCGCAAGGAAGCCCCTTTCGTCCCTCGGGCAGCGAGTCCAGCAGGCAGAGGGCCAGCCCGTCACGGTAGCTAACTCCATGCAGCTCAGTCCAACATCCTAAACCTTCGTCCCTGGCTCCCGCAACTGATGGACGCCCCCTCTGCAGTGTTTCCTTTTCCCGGGTCAGAACCATGCCAACTCGACCCCCCCGTCCCCGACCTTCACAGTTCCTTTGCTTCTTTAAACTATTTTGAGCCGCTCTGCAAGAAAGCTGCAAGGACCACCGGTTTGCGGGAGAAAAGGGGCCAGCAGGGGTAGCCCAACCCCGGGGCTGTCCATCTTTCCCTCCCACCGGCATA